GAAGGACCTGCAATCTTCACATGCGCCATACATCCAAAAACTCTCAAGTGTTCTAGGTGGGGTTTCTTACCAAACCAAGCTTCGTAGGGTGTGTGGTCGTGCAATGCCTTGGTTGGTAGTCGGTTGAGTATGTACACCGCGTGTCTAACCGCTTCACCCCACATTGTTCCAGGCATATGCATGCTTTTAAGTAAGCTTCTCGCCATGGCCATCACCGTGCGGTTTCGCCTCTCCACTACACCGTTTTGCTGCCGGGTGTACGGTGCAGTGAGATGACGCTTGATGCCGTAGTCTTCACAAAACTTGGTGAACTCCTTTGACAAGAACTCGCCACCACGATCCGTCCTCAATGTCTTCACCTTGTGGTCACATGCGTTCTCAACCTCTGTTTTGAACTTCTTGAAGGTTTCACAAGCTTGACTCTTGGCCTTCAACATGTATACCCACATCCATCGGCTGAAATCATCAACGATAAGAAGAAAGTAGTTGTTCCCAGCAAGTGTAGATGGGGTGATAGGACCACATAGATCAGCATGTAGTAACTCCAGCGGCTTCTGAGCTCTGAAATTTGCTTGCGAAGGGAACGGTAGTCTTGCTTGCTTGGCGACGAGGCATCCTTCGCATAGTTGATTCGGGTGCAAGATCTTCGGCAACCCGGAAGCCATCCTCTTATCAGTCATCATCTTGAGGGCGAAGAAATTTACATGCCCAAGGCGAGCATGCCATAGCCAAGCTGGATCGTTAATATTCGCCATCAAACACGCCGGCTTGCAAGTTTTTAACTCTATCCTGTACAATCGGTTAGTTGAACGTGTCACCCTCATCAAGAGAGCATCGTTCCTATCAAACACCCTCAGGAACTCGTCAGCAATAACAACCTTACTCCCATCTTCAGTCATCTGACCAAGGCTGATAATGTTAGATTTCAAACTTGGAATGTAATATACCTCAGGTAGTAGCCTTTGATCGCCGTTGTTGCACTGAAAGAGGATAGAGCCTTTCCCCTTGATCTCTACCGCGGATCCATCACCAAACTTGACGGTTCCCTTGATGTTCTCGTCGAGCTCCTTGAACTTGCCTCGGTGGCCGGTCATGTGATTGCTAGCTCCGTTGTCAAGGTACCAAACGTCGTTGGCAACTTGTGCCTCCCCCGCTGTGAGTAAGTTTGGCACCACCTTCTCTTCATTGAGTAGAATGACAGTTGATGATTCCTCTAAAATTGCCATCATCAAGGTTGGCTCCTCGTCATATGCACGGGTGAGATGAGCCTCCTGTTCATGATTGCGGCGTTGCTTGTGACACTCCGACTGAAAGTGCTCGTATACTCCGCAATTGAAGCATTTGATGTTGGATTTGTCTCGACCACCGCTTGTGCTACTCTCCCCCTCCTGGCGAGCTGCACCTCCATGGCCGAAACCACCTCCTGGACGTCCTCCTCTGCCGCCGAAGCCGCCTCGGCCTGCCTGGCCGCCGTGCTCCCCTCCGCGGCCTGCCTGGGTAGCGTGGTGCTGCTGCCCGCTGCCGTGGTGCTGCTGGCCGCCTCGGCCTCTTTGGCCGCGACCACGCCCGCGACCGGCCCCGCGACCGCGTCCTCGTCCGCTGCCATCATTGGTTGTATATGTTGAGAGGAAGCCTCCGCCGTTCTTCTTGCCCCTTGATTGCCACTCCGCATGCGTCAACAATAGGTGGTCGTCGACGTTGTCTTGAAAAACACGTGCCCGCTCCTCGTGGGCTTTGAGACGCCCGATTGCCTCCTCGAGTGCCATGTTGTCGATGTCCCCGAACTGTTCAATCGTGGAGACGATAGTAAGGAATCTCTCCGGTACCGCCCGAAGTAGCTTTCTAACGACATAGTTCTCCTCCATCTCGCCGCCTAAACCCCGGATCTTGTTGACGACTCCTGTTAACTTCGTCGAAAAATCGTCGACGTTATCATTCTCCTTCATCCGGAGAAGTTCGAACTCGGACTTCAAGGTCTGCACCTTCGCGTTCCTCACACGGTCCGCTCCTAGATGCATTGTTCTCAAGGTCTCCCATGCCACTTTTGCCGTTTGCTTCTCTGCGATCACCATCAAAGTCTCTTCAGGAATCCCCTGGTAGATGGCCGTCAATGCCATCTGATCCTTCCTGTGTTCCACGGACGCGCCTGCCGCGGGCTCAATGGCGTCCCACACGTCTTGAGCCTTCATGTAGACTTTCATCTTGATTGCCCACGAAGCATAGTTTTTCCTCGATAGCGTCGGGTATTGAAGAGTAAGAGAACCCACATTGGTCGTCATCTTCTCCGAACTCGTCATCTCTTCAGATCTTGGTTGAATCTTAGGCAAACCTAGCTCTGATACCACTTGTAGGCTTTGAACCAGAATCGGCCAAAGTTCACACCTGAAACTGAGTTAGAAAACCTGTAAACTAAAATATAACCTGGCTGAATTTTTGAGGGAACGAACAGAAGAGGGGAGGAGCAGAGAACGTGTTCTGCAGCAGGCTTTTCAAAGCCTCTGTTTTGTTGAAGAACACACGCAGCGAAGAAGCAGAAACAAGGAGCAAGAACTTCTCTTTTTTTTTATTCACGTTCTTCTTTCATGAAGAGTATTACATGTATATATAGATAAGATTACAACTCCAATTCTTATCCAATAACTAGAAAACTATCTACTAACTAGTAATCTATTCTAACTAGAAATCTATCTATTAACTAGGACTGATTAACAAACTTACAAAAGTTCAAAATGCATTAAGCTTACAAATGGAGAAGAAAACCCAACAACCATTTGTTTTTATTCTCAGCATTCCCGAACTTTCACTCTTGGTGAACAATGCAGTAAAAGAAAAGGAAGACTAGAAGGATTTTTTGTTTCACTCAAAAGTACAATTCGCATAAAGGGGGATCTACCCACAATCATTTTGCAGTTCTCAAGAAGCTCGGCGTCGGTTCCAGAATATATTAACTATTGCATGCAATTTACGTTCTGGCAGACTCAATCTGCACAAGATATCTTGATATTTGCATGATCGCTTGTGTTATCTATAAATCAATTTCTTGAACTACTGCATCTTAACTTCCCGTATAGCGCCTCACTGCAAAGAGATAGAAACCCAACTTAAAACTCTTGCAGTACAGTTCCATGTTTGGTGGCAAGGAAATAAAGTCCTTTTGTTCAAGTCGAAGGAATCATATTGCTTCAATAGGTTCAAATAATTGGGATACGGAGCAATATGAGTCTCATTAGTGATGACCCAAAGAAAAAGGTGAGATCCTCACTGAGATTACACTAAAACTTCACACATAAATGACTGAGAGCAACACGTATGCAAACTGCTCTACAAGTCGTATTATTTTACCTCCTCAAATTTCCTAAATTTGAAATATAAAATATCACAAAATACCGGGAATCTTTATATTATGGTTGCCCAAACAGAACATAAATGCTGTACAGTTTCCTAATATTTACCAACCACAGTTTTCCAGAGACCAATCAACACTACACAAAGACGAGTTCCCAAGAAAACTCCTACGATTATTTCAGTTCCGGCAAATCAAGTGTTGGTAAACCGAGAACCTCAGATGTTATCTCATAGGCTAGCAGTTACCCCAAAACATAGCTAAAATCAAGTTTCAGCACCATTTTATTGACTTTACGGACACAAGCATAATAGACGTTACCTAAATCATGTGATACCCTTTCAAGCTATTTCCCAAAACTTTTAAATGTATGACACTCTAGCATATAATAACCACCAAATATCAGCTTGCCAATAAGCCGAACCAGAAAGGTAATAAGAGTAAACATTAGCTAAATAAAGTTGTATCAGTGTATCAAATATCAACAATTCAATGAATCAAGCAATGACATATTCGTGGAGTAAATAGTCCTGGTCATCGATTTAACTGAAGGCAATGGCTCAACGTCTTCTGGTATATCCCACTACTAACCATGAAATCTAACTTACCCATTTTGCTATTAGCCCATACACATAAGGATACGTTCTGAAAATATGATTTAATGCTCTAATATGATCTGGTGCATGGTTTTCCAATCAACTGTATCTAAGATTGATGCACTATAGACCAGAATAGAAAATATGGTATATCGAGCTGATTAATGGACCCATCAAGTCCCTAAATTTGTGTATGACTAATGAAAAATTGACCAGTGGTCCACATCTACAAAGTTGTTGGTGCTCCAAGAGATGCATATAAGGATTTGGGAATTAGTGTACTAATGCAAGAGTTCTTCATTTGATGCGCTAACCATCCAGTATCTAGTGAACTCCACAGGATAGTTCTCCAAGACTTAAATCTTGCATATTCTTTCATCTCCATTCTTCAGTAGTAGCACCTTAATCCTACTTACTCGCATAGGTACTGCTGAGTGTTTGAGGATGCTATCATGCACTTACTCCTGTAGGTATTGATGACTGATGAGTGTTTGAGGACGCTATCATGCACTTACTCCCGTATGTATTGATGAGTGTTTGAGGACGCTGTCATGCACTATCGTAAAAGTTGCCATCACTTGTAGACCTCCAGGCTTCCGTTACAGGAGCTAAAGGGCTGGGATTGGGTCTCAATAAAAATAAATTGTCTTTGAAGTTGTTAGAATATAAAAATATAACCCTCAACCCTCATCACAACGTTAGAATTTTGATGTAGTGACACGGACTTTAAGATGGTATCAGGGCAATCTTGGTTCGAATCCTATTGGCCACAAATTTCTAAAGTGCATTAAAAAAAATACTGCTCTACAAGTCCATCTTTTGGCCTATAAAAAAAGCCCCTCAACCTGCGGCGACATGTTAGAATATAAAAACATAATACTCAACCATCACCACAACTTTGGAGTTTTGTTGCAGTGGCTAGGACTTTAAGAGAAATAATATACATATCTTCATATGAATGGGTATAAGGATCTTGGGGACGCTAGGGATCCGGAAGGTACAAAATCTCATTGGATTCTGCTACTCTCCAAATTATTTCACTTTTTTATTTTTTTGGAAGCATGCTGAGTAGATTATAAAAATGAGGGATGGAGTGGGAAATATCCCACCTCTAAGAGGACTAATGTTATCAACCTAGAGTACAATCTCGTCCTCCATATTGAGTTCTAGACCTCTATATGGTCCAATCTAACATAAAGGGGAACAAACGGATTGGATATGACACTTACCATATACATATCCACTGACACTGATATGGAGATGAATGCATAAACCTATAGGGTATCTAATACATGAGCTCTTTAAATAAACTAAAACTTCTCAAATCAGAGTCATTGTTTTTAACACATATAGAAAACTAAGATTAGATTTCTGAATCATTAACAATTGGTGTCCAAGGTTGTTGATAGCGGATTGCGTCGCGTCGCGGCGAGGTACCGCTTAGGCTATTGCGGGCTATTGCGGCAAAATAGCGGCAAATAGCGCACAGTCAAATAGCGGTCAAATATAAATATATTTAAATATTCTAAATAATAAGAAAAATCATATAAAAATCTAAATCTCTGTTGCAGACAACAAGTCTCCAGTTCCAGTAAGCCATTTATCACCTACAGAAATTAACCTTATCCCCTGCTACAGTGTTTTTGTTGTGGAAAAAACCGCCATCTCCAGTAAGTGAAGGGAAAACCTGCTACAGTAATTTCCAAAAAGCCCAACAGTCACTTCCAGCCATGTAATATTCAGCACACTATTCATGTAAGACGAAGAGAGGAAGCCGATTTGTCAAAAAAAAAAAAGAGAGGAAGCCGAAAGCCATTTGCCGCTTCTTGGGGAAGGAAAAAAAAACCACGGCCAGCAGTACATGCTCCAGCACAGAGAAACCCAAAATCATGCCAAAGAGAAAACGAAGAGAACAAAGAATCCATATGCCATAAAAAACCAGCTATACATACCCGATTGCATTGGGCTATCAGATTGAGCACTGCAACAGGCATGAGATGAGACCTTTGTTCCTCTATAAACCAGCTATACAACCTGGAAATCGTCGGTCATCGGGAGTGGGAGCTTGGACGGCGTCGCTGGAAGTTGGCGTGGCGTCACTCGTCGTTGGAGCTGGAGCTGGGAGAGGTAGGGAGTGGGGGAGACTGGGAGAGGCAGTCGGGATTGGGGAAGACTGGGAGAGGCGGCTAGGGCACAAAATGAGGGGAGAGGTTTAATATTAGTGGGTACGGGTCGGGTTCGGGTCGGGTTCGGGGGTGATTCTCGTTAAAATCTGATGCGGGTAATAGCGCTTTTAGCCGCTAACACGCGCTTTTCGAACACAAAGCGGTTTTTACCGCTTAACCATGCCGCAAAAGCCTAAAGCGTAGCGCTAATGGCCCGCTTCCGCTATAAGCGCCGCGATTGCCCCGCTTTTTGCCGCTTTTTACAACACTGTTAGTGTCAGATCCACTAAATTCAATATCAAACATTTCAAATCGTATGAACAATATATTATAATACTTGGATAAGGATATGAATGTTTTACTTATATCTATATTATTGATGTTAATAATCCAACAGCTAATTAGGTGGGGGGTTAGGTTGTCGGGAGTCCTCTAACTCCTCGGAATGTCCAGTTCCGGAGCGAACTGATTTTCCCTGCACATGTAAGAACTCGTAAGAGGGTGGAGCTGATTTTCCCTGCACCTGTTTTTCTCTTCCATAAAAAATATAGAACTTTCTTATTACGATATTCCAATTCTACCGTACTGAATAGTACTTTTAGTGTTGTCGGGGACTGAAAACCAGCATGGTGACTAAATAGAACGAAGTAAAAACCTTAGGGATTTAACAAATTGAAATGAAAATTTAAGGGCTTCTTAGAAAAGTAGGGAAAAGTTTAGGAGCTTAATAGACTGAAATAAGAGTTCAAGGGCTTCATAGAAATGCAGGGAAAAGTTTAGGAGCTTAATAGTTCGAGCTCCTAATTGGTGACACCATGAGCCAATCACTAATTGCTCAAACTACAATAGTGTAATATTGCAAAACAATATGCAACAAAACTGCACTTCTTAGTTGCATTAAAACAAAAGCTATAACTGGCCCANTACACTTTTGCATCCCTATTTCAGAGTCTTTTAGTCCCCACCCACACACACACACCCACACCCACCCCCACACACACACACACACGCACACACACTCTCACACACTCACACTCACACTCACACACACACACACATACACTATCAGATACGAAGGAAGATATATCAGTGGATATCCATACACTTTTGCATCCCTGTTTCAGAGTGGTGTAGTCTCTTCTAAGCTCTTTCTCATATTTGTTAGTCTAATTGAAATCATGTTCATCAGATAAAAAAGAAAATTTTCTTAGACGTAACTATTATATCTCTCTTCATAAAGTTCATTAGTGACTAATTGGTGGAGCTCAAAGTCTAATAAGCCCCTAAACTTTACCCTACTTTCTATAAAGCCCTTAAACTCTTAACTCAATCTATTAAGCCCCTAAAGCTTATAGTTTCATTCTATTTAGCCCCCATGGAGGTTTCACATAACTATAGAAGGGTATAAATATAATGATCTTATTAAATTTTATTTGGAGAGAACAGGATCACTACTTTTAGAAAGATAAAACATCATACAACTAAACAAAATTTTAAATCAGTTAAAAGAAAAAAATTCACTAATTCCTCCTCAAGGTTTGACTAAAGAAAAAATCTCATTAAATTTCTATCAAATTCTTCGATCAAAAATATAGAATTTTCATTTTACAATATTCCAATTCTACCTTGCTAAAGAGTTAGTGCTGTTTGAAGTTGAAAACCACCACGGAGACTAAATAGAACGAAGTAAAAAACTTATATTGAAATGAAAATTTAAGGGCTACTTAGAAAAGTAGGGCAAAGTTTAGGAGCTTAGTAGATTGAAGTAAGAGTTTAAGGGCTTCATATAAATGCAAGGAAAAGTTTAGGAGCTTAATAGTTTGAGCCCCTAATTGGCGACACCATGAGTCAATCACTAAGGTACCATTTGGCAAAGGGTTAAGTGAGGGGTTAAAAGACTTAACCTCTTCTTAACCCGCCAAACACAAAAAATCTATGCAAGGCTTAAGTAAGTTAACCCTCTATAATTTGTCAAACATAAAAAATATAGAAGGGTTAATCTAACCCCTCTAGAGTGATTAAAATGAGTTAACCCCTCAAAATGAGGGTGTACTAATACTCCTATTTAAAAGGATTAAAAGCAAGGTTTTAAATATCGGTTATCGGGAATTTATCGGACGACCAAAATTCTTATCGGATAGCGGAAATCGGGGATATATCGGGGATAAGTAGTATTTATCGGAGTGATATACTAGATGGTGTATATATATAATATAATAACTAAAAAATATAATCTAACCATGCTTAATGAAATATAAACATACCAAAATATAAATCATCATGTTTAGAATCACTAACTAATTGTAGAAAGCAAAACTTGCATCTTGACCGCACGATGAAACCATTCGATTGCATAGCCTTACTTATCGGCCGATAATCCCGATAAAAAAACCTTACTTATCGGCCGATAAGTACCGATAACGCCGATAACTCCCCGATAACTTGCCAAAAACGATGACCGATTAAAAATCCAAGTTATCCTATCGGAGAGCTCCCAAATCCGATAACTCGGCCGATAATATCGGTTATCGGCCGATATTTAAAACAGTGATTAAAAGCTAACCTTTCTAATTATAAAAAAATAGTCAAAATCATTGTTATTCCTAAACACTAAAACTAATCACAAAGGCTAAAATAAAACTTATTTAACGGGTTAATAATTTAGTCCTTTAGATTATCGAATGGGCTATGTATATTAATCCTTCTATTTACCCCCTCTTCCTTAACCCTTTGCTAAACTGGACCGAATTGCCCAAACTAAAAGAGTGTAATATTACAAAATAATATGCAACAAAACTGCAGTTATTAGTTGCACTAAAACAAAAGCTATAACTGGCCCAAAATGTCTCAGTTGCATGCCGCTGCAGTAACAATTCCTATGGTTGTAATGAGCCAAGCAGCTCTAAATCATATCAAAAATCCATGTATCACCCATAACTTCTTTATTACTCAAAACCCTCATCCTACCCAGTTTATTTCATAAACCACATTTCATCAAATCACTTCATAATGTAATAATCAAGGATAAAATGTTCAGATTAAAAAACCTCAAAGGCTCGCTGGAGCCAGCTTGGGAACCACATAATCAACGACGATCACATCCTCCACCAGCGGTCGCACCTTCACCTTCTGCTCCTCCACCATCTCCTTATCCTCCTCCATCATCGCATCCATCTGCTCCACGCTCTCAAACACCGAAATAAAGCCCACCGTATACCCTTTTGCCCTGGCCAGCGAGAAGTTCTCCCCAAAACTCATCTGCTTCGTTCTGGCCGGCTCTCTCATTCTGCCGCCTGAATCGCCGCAGAACCTCCGCGTCTCCACCCCCTCTTCGGATTTCGCACGGGTTAACCTCAATCACGATCCAGGCGCACATGCTCGTGTGCCCAAGGCGAGGTCGCCTCCGCCTGCGCGATCCAATCGTACGGCCATGATGTCGTCGCAGATGGGGAGGACGTAGGATTGACGGCGGAGAGGTGATCGGGGTGGGCGGAGTAGAGGCGAGGTCGGGCTGTGGAGGGGTAGCGCTGTGGAGGAGGTGGGTGAAGCCGGAGGAGGAGGCGCGAGCGGAGCGGAGGCGGAGGATGGGAGCCGCGGTGAGGTAGGTGCGAGGTTTAGGGAGGTTAGGGCCTCGGAGGGAGGAGACCATGGCGTCGATCTGCGTTGGGGCTCGGTGAGTCGCGACGACTTGAAGAGGACACGTGCTCGACGGTGGTGCTGGCGGTGGCGGTGGAGGTGGCGGCGGTGGGTCCATCGAGGAGGAGAAAGAGAGGAAGGGAAGGATTTTTAAAGGCTTGGGAGCGGAAGGAGAGGGAAGGAGAGGGAGCGGAGAAGAGGGATTTGAGAGGTGAGAGGGCGCGATGAAGATGAGGGGAGGTTTTCAGACTCAGCATTTTCGGAAGGGGATTTTTTTTTTCCTCTGTTGATTTGTCGTTGACGGGCTGGCCACTGGATCTGGCGCTTCTTCTCGCTGGCGATGGGCCGATTAGGTTAATGGTGTTTGAGGGGTTCCGGAGGAGCAAGAAATACCGAGAAGGGAATTCGCACAAACGCCGCCTGTACTAAATTGTTTTGCATATACACATAATAAAACCGCGTCTTAATGTTAATTGCAGCAAAAAATTTCAACTTGGCAGTTAACGAAACAGATAATTTGTAAAAACAGTCAATCCGATATTTTACTTGCACCAGGATTTATGCACGTGATTAAATATTATGATTAAGTATTTTTGACTTATTTTTTTACTAAAATATGTTTCTCAGTTCCATTTTGATTGTTTTTCTCACTTATGTTTTCAAACTTAACTATTGTGATTATTTTTTTTATTTGTTTGAATGGGCTGCGCCAAATTTAAAATTTTCATGTAATAATTAAATTAACAATAAATAACTATAATATAAAGCTAATTTGAATTTTCGCGTTATTTAGATCGGCATGAAACCAAGCTTGACTTAAGAAGGTATAATGTTGTAAAACTGAAAAACACTTGAAAATATAATGTTATAAAAGAATGATGAATAATTAAAGCCAATAAGACAAGATGATTAATTAAAAGTGGGCTACAATGAAACTAAAGAGAGTATAAATTTTGTTGCTAATCACTAATAGACTTTAGAAAAAAAATCAGAAAATAAAGATTAATGCTAACTCTATTACACTTTCATATAATAAAAGCATCCACATAACCATATAAAAAATTAAAATAGTTCATGAAAATCACTTCTAAAGATTCTTGATTTTACTCAAAAGTTTAAGCTATTTTTAAAAATATTAATAATTTAAATTTGTGTTGTATTTATAAAGAGCCTTGATGGAGATGCTTTTGTTTTAGCAGTTTGTTCTAAATGAGTCTTGCATATTAGCTTTAAAGTGTAATATTTTTTTTATCGTGCTATATGGATGCTTGTTTGGTTTTCTTATCTATCTCTTATTTCTTCAATAAGTTAATATATTATTAACACAATTTACGATGACATGCATATCTTTCATACAAATTTGAGACAGGTATAAGATGAATTTAATATTTAGTGGCCTTTAATAAGAATTTTAGTTGTAAAATATGCTACATTTATATTTAAAGATATTGAAATCTGGCAGTACTATTACATGCTTATCTTTGATCGTGTTCTTAAAAATTGAACTTTCGTTGGTAGTCATATCCCCAAATAAGGATACTTGCAGAGTCATGCCACTATATAGAGAAAAGAAAATTATCAATTTTAATTTTTTTACTTACACTATGGTAACGAAGTATCATGTGAATATTTTTTTGTCTATTATAGTGATTTTTCTCATCTTATCTAGTTTATTATATCTCGTGTAGTTGATCAATGGTTTTACTTTAGTTTCTATTGCAAGATTATTTATATGAAATTTTATATTAAGTTTATGATTCCTTCAGTATTTTTAGAATAAAGTATGAAAATTTATAAGTACTTACTAATTTTTCTTGTACTTTTCATGAATAATGTTTTTTTAATTAGGACATAATTGTTCAATAAGTTCTTCAAGGAGAACTCGGTTAGTGCTTCTTTGCTCGATATGCTTTTTATTAATGTCAATTCAGGTGATTCATGAATGTTTCTGAATTTTGAGTTTATTTCCTTCATTTCTCCATTTGAAATAAAAACAACTTAGTTCTTTTAAAAGATATCTCTGAACTTTCTGATAGTTTCTCCACACATAACTCCTTGTATTTTTTTTACTTTATAAATAAATATTATCAACATTAGAGATAAATGTTTATACATTATAATTAATTAATGCTAACCTATTATATATTAATGTAATAATATCAAACATTTCTTCTTTTCTTTGCCAAATTTCAGCCTTTTTGTGATTTAAACTTTTGAGGGTGTGTTTTGTAATTTTTAAACTTTGATAGTATTTTATAAAAAATTTAAATTTTAAGTTGGCCGCTTATAATTTTCATGTTTCATGTATTGGTGATAAGTTTTTAAATGTTAGAATATTTCTCGTAACTCTTTCATGTTTCATGTATTGGTGATAAGTTTTTAAATGTTAGAATATTTCTCGTAACTCTAAAAATTTGAAGATATTTTTATAATTACTGGTGATAAGTTTTTAAATGTTAGAATATTTCTCGTAACTCTAAAAATTTGAAGATATTTTTATAATTACTAAAATTTTGGGTTGTTTTTTAAAAATTTTACTTTTTTAGCAATCTGCTAATAATTTCTAAATTTGATGTGCACCAGTTATAAGTTTTAAAAATTTAGAATATTTTAATAATTTCTACTTTTGAGAGTTTTTATAATTTTTGTACCTTTGAGGTTATTTTTTTTTACTAATTTTAAATTTCTATGTGCCTAATGGTAATTCCTGGAATCCATTTATGTTGTTTCTAAGTTTTAAAATCACTGAATTTTAGAATGTTTTTTTGTACTTTAAACTTGGTTAAATGGCACTTATATAACCTATTGTTTTGCTCTTGTAGTAGTTATATACCCTAAGTTACAAAACATAGCAAAATAATATCATGAGTTGGTAATTGTATAAATTTAGCTAACGTTGTTAAAAAATACATGAAAGGACAATAATACCCCTCCTTAAGAATTAACCCCCATAGTGAAAGCTCTTATTTTCTACTGTTACCCATATTAAAGAGGAAGAAGAAGTTGGAGGCCACGAAAAGAAGATGATGATGATGAAAATAATCTAAATTGTGAGGGGTGAGGAGCCGGGGGGTGGGGGTGGGGGATAAGTAATACAATAAATAATACAATAAATGAGGGTAAGAAGTATTCAAGTTGGTCATATGTCCAGCACGTGGGAATATTCCAGAGAATATTCTCAAAGCTGGTTAACAGAAGGTACCAATTGCAAAATTTTGCCAATTAGGGTATTTTTTGTTATATTTTGTAACTTAAGGTATATAACTGCTTCAAGAGCGAAACACATAGGGTATATAAATATAATTTAGCCTTTAAACTTTTGAGGTTGTTTCTACAATTTTTAAAATGTCAAGGGTGTTAATTACAAGTTTTAAATTTTTAGATATCATGTTTGTTTTTAAGTTTAAAAAAGTCAATGTGTTTTGTGTAATTTTAAACTTTTAAGGCTATTATATATAATTTTTGAAACTTTTGGGTTTTTTTATAATACTTCATGTATTATAATATGTTATCTACGTATAATTTCTTAATCTTATTTTTTTTTTATATTTTTGAGTTATAGGTAGTTCATATGTAGTTAATATAGGATATAATTAGTATTTGGATAGATTAAGATTTAAGTGAAATATTCAAAATAACTTTTTTTAAATTGTTGACCTATAAATAGTTTAGGTGGAATTAGATAAGATATGATTAAAATTAGAATAGATTAGGATAACAATGTAATATTAAAAAAACTAAGGATAATACTGATCATAGAAAGTTTTTCTCTGCTTTTAAAGAGAGTATGATATGATATGATTTGTATCCTATCTCACTTTTAAAAATTAATAAAGATATCCATATATCTATGCATAGTCAGTGAGAAAGTTTTAAGTGAAGTTTAAGTGACCGCCCAATCTCACTAGAGATGTTATTGGTCTAGGTGTCCCAACTCTTACGAATGAAATGGGTATCTGTTTAGAGTGGTACTAGGGGCACACCCCAAACCACACCTCCAACCACACCCCCTCTCTTATTCGCTACAGTACTCCGGGCCCCACATGAGTTTTTAAATTTTAAAAACTCATGTGGGGCCCGGAGTACTGTAGCGAATGAGAGAGGGGGTGTGGTTGGAGATGTGGTTTGGAGTGTGCCTCTAGCATTATTTATCTGTTTATCATAGGTAAATATATGTAGTTTTGCATTTTCTCTGTAGTGAAATTTGTCATTGGGTGAAGTTTACTTAACCGTCAGAACTTTGGGGGTTTTGCACATCCCTATAAACTTTATTTATTCCACTTAACACCCCTGAACTTTGGGTTTGTCTCACTTAATCCCATATGCCTTTAAGTTTTTACTATGTACGCCCTGATGATCTGACCCCTTGATGATAAAATGACTAAAGTTTCTTTTTTTTAAATATCATATTCCCTTTAAAATCACGAGTTTGAAAAAATCTTTCTAGGGTCAATATTACCCTTCACTATTTTGAATATTTCATTTATATCTTAATCTATTTTAATCATAATTATATCCTATCCTAATCCTATGTGCTTAACAAATTATAAAAATAATATTAATAAAATATTTAAAATATTTTTATGGTATTAGTTTGTTAAGATAAAGAAACTATATGTAGCTAACATACTATAATACATGCAGTATTACAAAAAACCTAAAAAGTTTTAAAATTGCATAAAATATCCTGAAAAGTTCAAAATTGTAAAAACCATCCCGACGTCTTAAAACTTAAAACATCAAATATGAAATCAAGAAATTAACAGCAGTTTTCGCAGAATTTAAAATTTACAGTCAACACCTCAATGTCTCAAAAAGTATAGAACACCATCAAAATTTTAAATTACAAACAAGCACCCTGATATTCTAAAATTTTAAAACTTGCAAATAACATAGATGAATTCAAGGGATTACCATGATTCACCTGAAAATTTCTCATATTTCAAAACTTAAAACAACAAACATGAAATCAATTCGGGAAAATCTTTCTATGATCAATAATATCATTCACTATTTTG